TTTTGCTCCTTATGAGATTTATTTTGTCCCCTTGATTAATTTTATTATCCAGTCAACCGTGTACTTAGCATGTTTGTGAAGATTTAATACTCTCTCTCATAAATTGCTCAACATTTTTCTCTGGATCATTACGCTATTATCTCTTGATATGAAATCACCAAAGCGAAGCGGTCGTTTTTGCTTCAAAGTGTAGCGATGTTTAATGTTAAAGGTTCGTGGAAGTCGATAGTAAGTTCGATTCCCAGTATGAAACAATGAGTATCATATCGCGTGGAATTCGAACTGCCACAGCTTTGAAATACGAAATTGATATTTCTTGTGTACGTATATTAAATATTAAACGCCACCACTAACTATCATTATAAAAGTTATGAGCGTATGCCCGAGAATGATAAAAGCGGCGAAGATAATAGAGCTTTTTCTGTTTAAAGCATTTATTTTTATTTGTCCGACAATTACATACAGCTGCATTGACAACAATTATGGTGTCTATAAACAGAAATCGTCACTTCATGTAGGCATACCTTGTGTTATGTATTGAGATTGCGGTAATAATAGTTTAGGAGTTTACAACTAGATGTCGCTTTAATTATGTTAAGTGCCATCTCTAGGTGAAAGCCGTAAACGCTTTATTGTTGATAAACGTTTTATAATTTGTTGATAGATGGCGTTGCTTAACTTATAAATAAAATGGAACAATGAATATTACATATTATGTTTAAAATTTTAAAGACAAATAACAGTGAAAATTTAGTACAAAGCAGAAAATAAAATCTGTTAGGAGTTAATGGAAAGGAATTTAAATTTGAATGAAAAAGAAAATTTAGAAATTAATGTAAAATATTGATACCTAAAGATGCGTTCAAGATTTAATATTTTTGATATATTAAGATACCAACTTTAACGAAAACATTTTTTTATGATAATTTCTGGTATTATTTCATGAGGAAACTAAAGAAAACATTATAATATTTATTTTTCTGTCCTACTCTCATTCTTAGTAAAATCAAATATTTTCTTGGGAGCGTACATTATGTAGACATTCGTTATTAAACCAATTAAGTTAAATGTAACTAATATTTTTGATGACCCGTGATCAAATATGTAGTTTTTAAAAATAATAAAATACGCATAGTAATCCGAAATATATTAGTTTCATTTTAACGAATACTCGCCAAAGTCTTAGATCTCACAATTAAGTTAATTTACACACATACAAGACCACATATTTTTTCTATATACCAATATAAATATTATCTATTCAGACAAAAATATTAAGATTACTAAACCTATTGACATATTATAAATAAGCTTGGTTTTATTTATAGCTAGAAGCTAAAGTTGAATTAATATCCTAGGTGTGGCAATATATCACCGCTCGGAGAACGTCTCTAAATATTAGTTTTTCAGGTAATACTAGCACGACCTCAGAAGTGGGTGCCATATTAAATATAAGGCGTTGTGTACACACATATATATGTATATGTTCTAACTTAATATATACAAGTAGTGACATAAGATTAAGAAAGATTATTATTAAAAACATATATAATAATATTATTGTAATTAATTTTATATATATATATACAGGGTGACTGGTGAATTACTATCAATATTTTAGGAGAATACTCGGTACATGATTCTCATTCGAATTATGTAAAAAAAATAGGCACTTAATTTTTGACAAAATTTCCGTATAAATAAATAAAGTGTGTACACGTTCCAAGTGTTCCAAGTGTGGACGCGTGCGGCGGCGCGCTGATACAACACCACGCCGCCGCACGCGTATGTGTTTGTGTGTGTATACCTAATCTGTAGGGTTTCACACGATGCATAATTAATTACATAACTTTTGGTTAACTTTACTTAGAAGTTTATTAATATTTATGTTATATTAATTTTTATTTATTTTTATAGAAAAGAGATGTGTTTACTAATTTTTATTTATTTTAACTCGAATTAATATTAATTTACTAGGAAATTAATTAACAATTGTATACAGGCAACAACTCAAGTTATTACATTAGTTAAAACTATTCCTAACACTCTTTAACCGATTTTTTCTGTCAATGTGAGTGGTATAGGAGTGAAAGAAATCCATTTCATTAATTTCCATATATTGAAAATAAATTAACCATATTATTTCAAGAAATATTGTTATTATATCAGTTATGACTGAGTTCTTTCTAAGTTAGTATAGGTAAGTTTTAAAATAAAATTTGCGAAATAAAAAGCTTTTACTTTTAAATGGTATACCGAAAACGACATCTTTAATTTTTGTTAAGTTACTATGTGCAAAATACAATGTAATTTCTCGCAAGCTTCTCTGAATTCTCATGCCTCCTTACGATGTCTAAGCTGCGTTACTGTAGAGTTTTATATAATCCGTCAAGTATGTGTTGCTTAAAAGAGCACCAAAATGAGTACATCCATACGTCCTGACAATCTCTGTCGTTAATAATATAAGTAGGACGTTAATAATATAAGTAATTTAATCCCATTAATATTCTATTCTAATCCATCATAACTTTTCTATTATCTATATAAAGATAAGTTAATTATTCTATTAAAAAATATATCATTGGATTAAATAAAGACATAAGAGATTTGGAACCTAAAAATTGGAAACGAGTTTATGGTTTTTATTCCATTCTTTTTCCATATAAACAGTTAATAACGAAACATAACAAACTCAATTCCAAAGTTTGAAGTAATGGTAAATTTGAGTAAGGATTATAAATAGCCCAGTGTGTTCTCACCCTAACAATAAGAGGGCTATGAAAAAAATAAATATGCTCATTACGAAATAAAGGTAAGTACATCGGAAGCGCTCGACGTTTTATTCAAGCAATTATATTTTATAACACGGTGTGTACAAGCTTTATTTTCCTTTTAAATGGAAAATACTTTAATAGCAGGTTTTTTTGTCAGGCCAATACGTTTTAAGTAACAGAACGATGTATTGAAACCTTTGGAATAGCTAATATATTAAGGATTTCAAATAAAATTTTATTAAAGAAAGACTTAATATGTGGTAAAGTCGATATTATAGAATAGTAAAATTAATTAATTATAATTATCCCAAAGAGGGTTGATGTCAGGCAGGTGGCAAGTCGTAAAAACAATTAGCCAAAACTATTCACAACATGTAAGGCAGACCGTGGCTAAAGCTGTGATATTGCCAGGAAGAAGAAGAAGAGTAAAATTAATTAATATTTTCATACGTTTAAAATAATAATTTACATATAATTTCAAAGAAAAACTCATTATAAATCCTCAAACATTATCAGCAAACGTAATTCTCTAAGAATTTTTAACTCGTCAGCGGTTTATGGGGGAACCGTTTTAATTAAATTCCATGGTTTACCTCAAAGCGGATATTTTTTTATATCAACATAATTCGTATTACTTTGTTTGATAAACAAAATAATCTTGTAGCTATTGGTTAGAAAGTTATTTTGAACGGATATCAAATTATTGAATAACTAAGGAAGTTTTCTTTATGAAAAAAATGAAATAGCTTTAGCAACGGTTAAAATTTAAATTCTATTCTCATGTTAACAAAAGTAGGACGATTATTTGAACAAAAAACCGATTTCTTCGTACATTTTTATAAGAAATTCTGTTATAAAATTCCTGCATTAAGTTTTAGTTGGCGTGGAATTTAAACAAAATGGATTGAAGAAATGGAAAATCATTTACCAATTACCGCGTTTACCGTTTCCATTTTATGTATCTTCGCAATGTTGAGAGATTGTATATATGTATATACAGTTAAATTTATCATTATTAGAAGTAGTTAAATACAATTAATTATTTATTTTTGATTATCAATTAGTTTATACTAAACTGCGTCGTAATGTATGGACTTTATTTTCCATCTATCCTTTGAATATTTTTTTCCTTCTCATAATTGTACTCTTGTAATAATCATAATGGAAAGATTCTTACTTTTAACGAAAAGTTGTCCTTTGTTCGATTATTTTCTTCACGAAACGGTCTCCTCTTTATGCGCAATAAAATAATGCTTACCTGGAATTAAATAAATAGTATGTTAAGATATTTTCGAACTTTTGATTGATATTAATAAAAAATATAATAACAAGAGTATAATATTAGTTACTAAAAATCTATAAGTTGATCATGAGAAAAGTTTTTTTATTAGATATAGTATTTAAACTGAACTAACCGACAAATGTTGTGTACTCTTTGTGTGTTTGGAAATTCTTAGAAAGTTTAATCAGTATGATTTCTAAAGATCACTATATAATTACACATTTGGCTAATGTATTAATTTAGTAGAAGTCTTTTTTATTCCTGAATAAAAGACATTTTAATGCGTCATAGAAAGATTATTGTATTCCTAACAATAATATGAAATAGAAGGTCCTCAAGTTAACATTTAAAAATTAAATATTATCGCATATAAAATAGTGACTTCAGCCTGTATAATTCAATTAAGAGATGAATGAATAATTTAGGTTTATAAAACGTATGTGCATATGGATAATTAATCCAAAAGCGCCATCTATTTTCTATGCCATGTGGCTAAAGTATAACTTTTAAGGTAAATGAAAGTAATATTTTTTGGATACTATATGTACTATGCCTATTTTATTATTGTTAAAACTTAATTTATTTTTATTGTTCTAAACTGAATTTATTATTATTGTTAATACTTCAGTATATTTAGCCTTGAAATTCTTCGTAATTCCCCGGCAACATACCATAATAGTAAATGAGATCTAAGGTTAAGACTTTCGCGAGTATTCATTTAAATGGAACTAATATTTTCGGATGTACATTATTATACAAATTATACATGGTTGATGAAAAATAACAAGACACATTGACAGACACTTTTATCTCGTCTGCCTGTGATAACGGTTGCTGAAAAGTAGCCGAAACGTTTGGAGTATGCAGTTTTATACAAAAATAAAGCACGCGTAGTATAATCCGAAAAATATTAGTTTCATTTAAAAGGCCTATAAATATTATATTCACCTGATACAATCGTTGGTGCAGTTCCGAAGTCTGCAATAACTGCAGCTGCAGGCCGAGTAACACGAACCGGACTCCAAGCTCATGGAATCGAATCTTGGACCTTCATCTGTTGTTGGTGCTGTGTTTGAAGTACGACCTCTGAAAATTGAGGTTGTTATTATAAGTAAATGTCGTATTAGTTATATCTATAGACGTAGTTAAAGTAGAAGAAATTATAGATATAGTTTCACTTCTGGTATTAATCGTAATATTTGGATATAATAAGTAAGGAAAATAAGAAAAATATTTTGAAAATATTTAGGTTCTGCAATATACATTACATTGGTAATACCTATACAATATGATGGTATATACTTTACTCCTCTTGTAATAAATATCTAATACTAAAATAAGTCGAGAAAGATCTGGAAAAAAATCTATTTTGCGGAATGTCACAGGTAGTATTTACGTTCGCATCGAAAGGCTGTAAGCAGAGGATTTACATTGTCTCTAGGATACAGTCCTGTTTAGTGTCATTCACGAAAAAAACATTATCTTTTCACACTTAGATTTTATTTTTGAACAAATCGACATTCTAGTAGAAAATGTTCACCTAATTATAGTTAATTTATTAATTTCACCAGTGCTTAGCTTTCTTTTATATTAAAAGTCATGAATAAGGAATGAATTAAAGAGAATTTCATCAATATTTGTCCTAAAACTTGGCTAATATGAGTGTGTACCTTTTGGAATTCAAGCTCTTTGAATCCATATGCTCGACAACCACATGCCAGGTTCTGTGGATGAGGTACAAGAGGAACAGGATCCTCGAGGACTCCGCGTTCGGGATCTCCTTCTTCCACTTCTTGCTGCTGACGCTACTGAAGCTGTTACCCATTTTGGACTTGGGAATTATTCACATCGTTTAGCTTTAAACTGATGTGTGCTGAAATGTGAAACATATTTTTTTTATATCTTCAAAGCTTATACATTTTATCAATAATATGAACACACACACACACACATATATATCCATACATACATACTAGTTTTTACCCGCGACTTCGTCCGAGCAAATTTCGGGATTAGTAATATTGTACATATGTATAGCTGACCGGGCGAACTCTATTCCGCCATAGACGCCATAAATACCCAGATATTGGAATTTGTTACTTATTTTTCTTTTTCGATCAAACAGAATTAAGTATCATATATCCGTCTACTTTTTCTAATCTATTCCTCCGCCAATTTCCAACCATATCCCCACAGTCGTTCTTGAGTTATAAATTGTGTAAATAAAACAACTTTCTTTTATATACATATATATATAGATATACATAAAACCAATATGTAAGTATATTTATAGTATTTGTCAGTATTAGTACATGACTAGAAATCTAAAATTATCAGTTAGCTTATAATTTATATGTGAAACATCTCTGAGACATGATAAAGTGGTTTTCTTGAGATAATATTATCTCATATTTATCTCTGTCCGAAAGCCACTGTTTAGATTTTTATTACAGACGTCTTCCTTTTCAAGACATATTAATATTGTCTGCTAAAATAATGAAGCATTTGTCTTCTGACGAGAGAGAATCTGGATGGAATATATAATTTGTTTTGTTTTTGCATCGCCTAAAAACACTTAGGATTTTTATTACTATTAAGTTAATGGATATTGAAAATTTCGTATACTACTATAGTAATTAATATTGACCAACATATATGTATAAAGTGTGTAAAAGTGTGTGAAAAATATATATAAAATATTTTCTATTTATTAAAAGATTTCAATGTAAACTGACAAAATTGGACGCTTTTAGTAAATTGAAGTGTACACCCATCAGCAGCAACAATCCATCACAACGTGACAGGGCTTCTTTCCTCGAGTTATTTTTGCTTTATGAATTACCTTTACAAATTATTATAGAAATGTTCATGGAATATTGTCGACAGACTCTCACGATGGCTTCGTAAGTTATAAATGACTTGATTATTTTGTTTTATATTAACAAATTAATTGTATTACAAATCAACTATATTTATGAGTAATAATGAAATAAAACAATGTAGTTGTGGCACACACTACTGCTTCAACGTAGACTGACAACTGTCACAAATATTATTTATCTACCTACTATCTGAAATGTTACAAATACTATACAACTATATGCTATTCTCATTTTATTGTTGTTTCCAACGTTTGAAGATTGAAAATCAAAATTTCATTCTTGTATAAGTCGATTTATGAAGTCATTCTCGAAGCAGAGTTCGTTTTTAAGGTTTAATTTATGCTAAATGACATGTAATCCGATGCCATTACAATTTTATGGACCCTAATGCCAGAGAGGTAGTAGATATGACGTCATTACTCCATGAATCTTCACAGAAGATTAACTTTATGTCCGCGGATGGGATGATTACTATGAAAACTTCTTCCTTAACAATTAATTTAATTAAATTTTAAAATATAAGAAGCTCTTTTTATATGAACGGTTTTATTTAAGTTCTCATAATAAAAATAGTTCTTAGAATAAATAAAGTATGATTTTAAACTCAATATTTTGCCTCCACTATAACAAAGTACTTGTATTCATTACTAGGTTAATTTGTTGAAATGTACACATATCTTACACTACTTTTATAGCTTGTCTGTCTTTAATTTAATTGCAAATCAATAAAGATTACCGTTTCAATCGATTATCAAGAAAGCATTAACTTAATTTCAAACTTCCGCACAGAAGTAAAGAATGATTTTTCGTTTCAACTTTTAATGAAAAATTATCGTATCTTAGTGATTATAAATTATTAATTATTTTTGATGAACAGAGTATTATAGTAATAAATTCATTGGTTTCATATCATTGATTACAATTCAATATAAGTGGAATGTCAAACTAACAGTATGTCTGTGGCTAAACGAAGCGAATAACGGACTCTGTATAATATCGAAATATTACCATAATTTATGTATTTTACTGTCTAAGACCCACTACGGGTGAACTACATGAGTTTTATTCCGTACCATATTAATTCTTTAGTATTTTTATTGAACTAAGTAAATATTATACATATATACTGTAAATTAACCGAAACGTCGGGAGTATGTAATTTATAATCACAAATAAAAATCGCGTAATTAATACGAAAATATTAGTTTCATTTAAATGAATAATCGCGAAAATTTTTGATCTTATTATTATATATGGTTTTAGCTATTTACAAATTCATTTATGTATAATTTCGTTAATTCATCTTCTGAATTCTCAATTTTTAATAAATTCACGAGACTGTATTCGATTATTTGAATACTAATTTACATGAACACTAAATTACTTATATATGTATATTAAAATCTTTAGTATATAATTACTATACAAACATTTTCAGTCGGTAATATTAAACTTTCTCGTACATAATATGTTTATAATGTACATGTCATGTATTAGTGTGAAGGTGAAAGTTAATAACAGAACATTATACACGAAGATATATAGCAAAATATATATACATATACTAAAAAAAACCCGGCTAACGTTGTTTTGATATATAAAAAATAGGGGTTGGTGATAAAAAAGTAAAAAAATGGGTCGTATGTATTTTATAATGCTACATTATAAAAAAATAAAAACAAAAAAATTCGTCCGAAAAAAATATTGAGGGTAAACAACCCTTATGGCTTAGGGGTATAAAAAATAGATGTTGACCGATTCTCAGACCTACTCAATAAGCTCACAAAATTTCGTCAAAATCGGTCTAGCCGTTTCGGAGGAGTTCTCTGTCTAACACCGCGACATGAGAGTTTTGCTTTATGTACAGTCTTTGGGCATGAATGGTTTTTACTCCTCCACTTAGTCTGAAGTTAAACTACATACGACGCGTTTCACGTTTCTCTTCTAATAACCAAGTTTAATACTATAATGTGTGTGATTATGAATGAAAAACTACTTAACGCTTCGTATGTCAATATACAGAGCGTTAACAGTGAAAACTTGTAGTAAGACTATTAGACTGAGGATACGAAATTAATTTGTTAGTTTTCTCTATATATTATATACATATATAAATGTAATAAGGCTGTCTGTTTGTCATAATGAAATAACGCTTAGAACTTAGTATCACTACTTAAAGGGGACTTTCACTCAACGATTTGACTAAGGCTATTTTAATATAAGAAATTCTATTAATTTTGTCATTAAATAAAAACTAAATATTAATATACACGAAGTCGGGATATGGCAATTAATTATACAAACGCATTTATCTTTGAAAATTAAGGCTTTGAGTATTGAGTATTAGTTTTTTAATGTAATATTGTGCTAACTTGTTGGCTAACTTACAAAGGCCAATTATAATGGTGACATAACACATATGTCTTTGTGACATAATACACAGGTTTTACTCAACATTTTTATAACTTTTCGACAGTTTGACGCTGTTTTTTTCAATAATGATTATTTAACGAGCGTAACTCAAGCTTCGCAAGTAATAATTTAAAATGAGAATTGATAACAGCGAAAAAATTATGTCTAAAATATTTTGGTGGTTCCTGGGGCAATGTAATGGTACTTATAGTTATAAAAATATGTACATTAAATATTGATGAAGTATAATTTTTTTATATGAAAGGTGGCAATCGAACAAACTGCCTACTTAATGGAAGGTAGGCACTGTCTTCTATGAACATCTGCAATATACCTTATGTTGCAGATGCGTTGCCGACCTTTATTGTGGAGGATGGAGGAGGGAGGGGAAGGGTGAGAAAAGGGAAAGGGCATAAGTAGTTGTCACCGTATATACGAGTATTACATATCTTTAAATACCAAAACAACATTTTTGTTTTAAATAGTGAGTAAAAAGTAGACTTATATTTTAAAGTAAAATTTGTAACAAATAAATATACATATGTATAATGTAATTTATATATACAGAATTTTTTTTTGTTTATTAATTTTTTTTCATTTATAATTACGTCATTAAATACTAAGTCCGGTCCTGTCGTTTCCCTAACATGCAATGCCTACTTACCCATTGCACCAATGAATTGGATATTGGAAATATAAACGTTTATATAATTGAGAAAGTGTTACTTTTTATGTTATATCTTTAAACCTGATTCTCATTATATTCAATGTTTTTATTATTATATATCATAGCGTTATTTTTATATATAAAGAATAAATTTAATTACCAAACATATAATAAAAACTAGTAAACGATAAAGAAATTCATGTGCATAAATGAGGATTTTTGCATACATAACTTTATACTTCCTAATAAATATTTTATTACATAACATTTTAAGCATTAATCAAAGTAATTCAATGATATCAACAATTTGTTTAGGTATTAAGAAAAATATTTTTATACCAGGTACCTTATTCTCGTAGCATTGAAAGTTAAAAAACATTTTTTACTAACGAAAACTATTCATGAGTTTTCTTGAAGTATAATTTAATACAAGAACAATAACAGTTTTATATCACGTTTGTATCGCATGAATAAAACAGTTTGTAAAAAAACGGTCAGGCGATGTCTTTACTGGAAATATTCACTCTTCATGAACAATATACTGGTCAATATAAAATTTATGTTATACATTATATAACAAGTTAAAATATTGAAAAATAAAGGATAAATAAATATTATAAAAGTATTTATAAAATATATTATGATACTAGCTGACCGGGTAGACTTCATACTGTCTCAATTGAGAAATAAATAATTTCTTATTTTTTTTGAAGTTTAGCTGTAAGCCATAAGTCTCCGTCTTATATACATATTAGTTAGTTGTCAAATCTAATGTCAAAAAAAACGTTTGTGTGGGAAATAGAAAAGGGCTGTTTTAGAGTTTTCCCGGAAATGAATTTTTAAACCTTCCCTGATCCTGCACGA